ACAGGACACACAGACACACAGACACACAGACACACAGACACACAGACACACAGACACACAGACACACAGACACACAGACACACAGACACACAGACACACAGACACACAGACACACAGACACACAGACGCAGACACAGACGCAGACACAGACGCAGACACAGACACAGACACAGACACAGACACACACACGAACACACACGAACAGCACACACGCACACATTCGCACACATTCGTACACATTCGTACACATTCGCACACACACACACAGACACGCACACGCACACGCGCACGCACACGTGCACGCACACGCGCACACACACACACACGCACACGCCCACAGACACACACCCACACCCACACCCACTCCCACTCCCACTCCACACCCACGCCCACGCACCCGTGCCCGCGCCCGCGCCCGCGCCCGCGCACGCGCGCGCGCAGGCACACGCACACCCGCACACCCGCACACGCACGCGCACGCGCACGCACGCACACGCGCACGCGCACGCACAGGCACAGGCGCGGGCACCGGCGCAGGCATAGGCGCAGGCGCAGGCACAAGCGCGCGCACAGGTGCAGGCGCAGGCGCACGCACACGCGCACGCACGCGCGCACGCAGACGCACATGCGCACGCAAGCGCGCACGCACACGGACATGCACACGCACACGCACACGCACACGCACACACACACACACAGTCACACGCACACGCAGTCACACAGTCACACACGCACACAGTCACACACACAAACAGTCACACACACAGTCGCACATTCATTCATACACATGCACGCACATAAACACACACACGCACACACACACGCGCGCGCAAACACATTCATATTCACATTCACACACCCTCAAGCGCACGCACGCGCGAGCAAACACTCACCCGCACCCTCACCCGCGCGCTCCCCCCCGCTCACGGCTACGGCCACGCCTACGCCCATGCGCACGCCCGCGCCCAAGCGCCTGCCCAGGCGCGCGCGCACGCACACGCACGCGCGCAAGCGCGCGGACACACGGACATGCACACGCAGACTCACACGCGCGCACATAGCCCCCCCCGCCACACACACAGCGACCCACCCACCCACCCACCCACGCACCCACCCACCCACCCACGCACCCACCCACCCACCCACCCACGCACCCACCCACCCACCCACGCACCCACCCACCCACACCCACCCACCCACCCACCCAGCCACCCACCCACCCACCCACCCACCCACCCACCCACCACCCAATCAGCACCCACCATAGCCACCCACCCACCCACCCACCCACCACCCACCCCCCCACCCCACCCACCACCCACCACCCCACCCACCCACCACCACCCACCACCCACCCACCCACCCACCCACCACCCACCCACCCACCCACCCACCCACCCCCCCACCCACCCACCACCCACCCACCCCCACCCACCCACCACCCACCCAACCCACCCACCCACCCACCCACCCCCCACACCACCTCCCCAAACCCTCACCAACCACCCATCCCACCACCCACCCACCCACCCACCAACCCACCACCCACCACCACCCACCAACCCACCACCCACCCCCGCACGGCAGGCGCGCAGGCCACGCAGGCGCACGCAGGCGCGCAGGGCACGCAGGCGCGCAGGCATGCAGGCACGCAGGCGCGAAGGCTCGCAGGCACGCAGGCGCGCAGGCACGCAGGCATGCAGGCACGCAGAGACACAGAGACACAGAGACACAGAGACACAGAGACACAGAGACACAGAGACACAGAGACACAGAGACACAGAGACACACAGACACACAGACACACAGACACACAGACGCACAGACACACAGACACACACACACAGACACACAGACACACAGACACACAGACACACAGACACACACAGAGACACATAGACACACAGAGACACACACACACAGAGACACACACACACACACAGAGACACCCACACAGAGACACACACACACACACAGAGACACACACTCAGACACAGACAGGGACACACACACACACACAGAGACACACACAGAGACACACACAGAGACACACACACACAGAGAGACACACACACACAGAACACACACACACACACAGACACACAGAGAGACACACACACACACACACAGATACACACAGACACATACACACAGAGACGCATGCTAAGCAGCACAGACGCAGCAAACACTCACACACACACACAGACAGATTGAGGAAGGGACAGGTATGCGCAATCACAATAGAGAGAGAGAGAGAGAGGGCGAGAGAGACAGTTCTGCATCTTCATACATACGCGGATGCGGGCACGCACACACACACACACACATCAGCTTGTCAGTCGGTGAGCTGTTGACAGATCCGTTTGATTTGTTTGAATGGTTTCCTCCTACCATGATCTTTGAAGCCTTGTTTTTTCTCAGGATGAGTCCAACTCCCTGTCCTGAGTTGCCACTGAGCGAGCCTGATGTGCATGGCCCTGTTGCTTGAAACTTGCGTTGGGAGCATCGCCGAGGAAGTTACATCTTTTGATGGATGAGCTCGGTCATCAGTTGCACTCGGGCTACTTCAGAGTCTTAGCAAGAATTCATTCAACCGTGAGCTCATAAAAGCACCTCACAGGTTTGATAGGCTAGTGTCGGAATGTCATAGTTTCTTCAGCGCGGAGCGCGTCAACGGCATAGCACCGCTAGCAGTGCGTGCGTGTGCCCCAGATAGCATGAGTGCAATGCATTCAGACATTGGGAGACTTGTGGAGCTGGAAGTGGAACTTGAACACACTCCAGATTCAGAGCATCACGCCTTTTGCCCTGAGCGCTTCACTTCCAGCACACCACAGCAAGGCGTTGACCCTATGTGACTCTCAAATGATTTGCACTTTTTCCGGGCAACTGCAAGGAAAGTATGTTGTAGCTAGGATCAGCGCATCGCCTATGGCTGAGCACGACGCGATGCGGCGTCTAAGACGCCTTGTGCTGGAAATGCCTGAGCGGGCCGCCGGGGCATTTCAGATGCACCGCAAAGTAGCCAATCCCGCCCGAGCAAAAACAGCGCAGAGTGGGTGGCAGTGGCCGCATTTGGAACAGAGGACCCAGGGAGCCAGGGAGGTAGGTTTCAAGGCGAAGGAATGAATCATGAATCCAGTACGCCCCACTTGGTGACGGATTCATACATGTGTATACATATATATATATATATATATTGTACATATATATACATATATATATATATATATGTTTACATGTTTGCGAGATGCAGTGCCCCGAAACGGCTCCCTCGTTGTTCTTTGCGAGGCTCTGCCGGAGCGGGGGCGCGCCGCCCTGCGGGGTCTTCCGGCTGCTGCGGGTGGCGCTGGGCTTGGGGCCCGGACCCACCGCACAGCGAGAGCCACCGATTCAACCCATCCGAAGTTCGCAGAGGGTTCACCAAGCGACTCTTTCTGAATTCGGCGCAGCAAGAGCACACTCTGGAAAGACACCAAGCCCAGCCACCACGTTGTGTGAGTCTGCAGTTGAAATGCACATGAATATCTTACAAGCGAACCAATGCTGTTCATTGCAAGCGCCTTAAAAGAGTTTTGCTTACCCCTGTCATTGTTTGGAGGAGAAAATGAGGCCATGGTTTGAAGGAGGGGTGTGTTGCTTCATGCCGTCAGTGTCGAAGGGCATAGTAGGAGAAGTGAACCCCATATTGTGAGTCAATGCCACCGTGCCCTTTTGGCCATTGGGTGGAGCTGCTGGCCTAAAGTAGGTTTTTGAAGCTCAGGCGCTGCTGACGCACTACCCGAAGGTTGGCAGCTGACGTCGTTTTGCACCTCAGTTGCCCAAGTTGAGGAAGAAAGTTCGGGGCTTGCAAAACGATATCGAGCATCATTGGCATTTGGCGCCTGCTAGCACCTCGCCAGGGTTTGCTTCGGGCTTACCGAGAAGGGGTTGCTCGGATTGGGCTTGCCAGGACAAAGCAGTGGGCAAACTACTGCGAGTGCAATGGCCTCGGCTCAGTGCGGCTGCGCCAATTGACTGAGCTTGACCCAGCTCGATGAGTGAAGGCCCTGCGGCCCATCCAAGCGCGAAGCAGTTCATTCCAGACCAGGCGGCCACTTCAGGGGCATTTCACTGTAAGCCAAAACCTGGCGCCTTGTGACCTGAGACATGTGAAGCAAGTCCTCATGTCCGAGCGCTGGGCCGGAATTCCGAGGCCCTGCCCTTGGGCTTCCTTGAGGAGGTCGCCAGTGGCATCGATGGCCCGGCACCATAGTGGCACCGGATGGGCGCGGAGCTTCTCACTGAATCCAAGCTGAGGCTTCGGACATGGATGCTGCACCTGTGGTTTTTGCGAAACAAGGGGCACGGGATGAGCCCCGCAGAAAGCTGATTAGCAGGAGGTTGCGGCCTTCGGATGTGCAGGATCGATCAACTTTTCGCCAGCCTCCGATTTGCATCCATTCACGGCTGCTGGCTTAGGCTATGAGGGCGAGGTTGCGATGGAGGCTTGTCCGTGGCAGTGGGACAAACAGCACGGCATCTGTTTCTATTCTTACAGCTTTCTCTCGCACACGCCCAAAGTGCCTTTGTGGCTCAAATTTGAGGGCATGGATGGTTTTGACGAGTCTTTGCAAGGTCCTGCTCGAACATGAACAATTCCATTGAAACGGTGCAGCATGACGCCTTCCAACATTGGATGTCAAAGGAAATTTCGAGATCCTTAGTGCACCAGAAGCTGAACCAGACAGACATTCCGTGACGCCGCAAGAGAAAGCCAAGTCATTCTTTTCCCTTGAGTTTGGGCGAAGTGTCGCAATCTCTGACCGCCAAGTCTCACAGAAACCAAGTCATTCCGCCTGGTCTAAAGCGGAGCTTTCGAGAGGCGCTGGAGGCGCTGCTGGCGGTGCCGCCCGCCTCGGCCCGTGCCCCCAGCGCCCAGCGTCGGATGTGGGGCGAAAGGCTCGAAGTGGATGTGGGGTTGGGGTTAGGGGGGTGAAGGGAAAAAGAAAAGCCGGCCATTTTTGGCAGGGCTCCTTAAAAGATGCATTTTGCCCATTTGAAACATGGCTTTTTCTACCAAAATAAAGGGACACCTCCATTTACAAGGCAATGTTCAGGTGTATAGTACAAGAATTCCTGTTTGGGGACCTCCAATGTGAGCAACAAGAGAGAGAGGGAGAGAGAGAGAGAGAGAGAGAGAGTGAAGGAGAGGGAACCATGATGAGTCTCACAACACAGCTCATGGGCACAGTTCCGGCTCGCAATGCGATTGGCCCAAGCCTGCATTTGGTAGCTGCGGCAATCCAGAATATGGGTCACTTCCACAGCCCAGCATCATGGGAAGACCGCTACTTTGGATTGCAGTAGCAAGATCCCAGCTTTCAAGCAACTAGATGCTACCAACACCTGACGTGCGCATACATAAATTTGTATATGTAATATACATTATGTATATGGATATATACATATTCATTTTCTGCCTGTATACAAGTACTCAGGCCATCAAGCCGGCAGGCATCAGCATCATGATAGAAGTGTTCACGATTCCTGATATCAGAATGACTCCCAGCTGTCAGCGCATGAGATCTGGATTCAGTGCCGTCATTCCCCGCCTGGGTGCGGAGGCAAAGAACACGTCTAACGAATGTAAGGCCAGCACTTGCACAGAGTCTTTGCCTTTTAGAGATCCAGTTGGGCGCATCCCGGTGAAACGGCTAGCAGCTTTCTCCAAAGTCCTTGCAGCCTTTCGGACTTGGAAAGGGCAAGAGGCCACCTAGTGGCTACCCAGTGGCCACCTGTGGTGCCTGTTTCCTGACATGGAGTCAGCCCGGCAGCGGGCTTGCAGGAGAGGACAGGATGCCATGCGCTCAATACACATGATGATGTGTAAAGGAAGAAGACACTCTGTGATGCCTCCACCTCATTCTTGACTCCTGCCCTACTTGCCCACTCAAGCAAACTAGATGTACTCAAGCTCACTATTCCAATATTCTGCTGTTCGGGCTTATTTCTCTGAATCCTTGTCAATAAGCGCGCCCCCTGACAAATTGAATGCTGACATTGGTGTGTGTGTGTGTGCGCATCGGGATGGGCGTTTTGCCTCATTGTCAATGTGGACCCAAGCCAATCAAATCTGAACTCGGGAGCCGATTGGGCGGGTTACGCAGGACTGCCACTCTGTGCTTTGGCGCTTTTGGCCGCGCTGAGTGCGAGGAAGGGAGATGTACACCGCAGAACAAACATGCCATTGCACAATGACAATGCAGCTCTCATGCGACACCAGTCCACAACCACATTTTAAGTCCTGGACTCCGCTTGACATAAGTCTGCTATGTTCTGTTTTTAATGAGGGATGCAATGTTGGACCCTGTTTACACGGCACAGCGGAACCAGTTAGCTGGACCCTCCTTGGAAAAAATCCAAAAATCCTGGGAGGGACAGTACTTACTTTAGTATTGCCAATTCCACTTTAGTATTGCCATGGTTGACCCTCAGATCCCCAGTACTTGCTTTAGTATTGCCAATTCTACTTTAGTATTGGCAAGGCTGACTCTCGGATTCCCAGTACTTAGTTTAGTATTGCCAATTCGACTTTAGCATTGCCAAGGTTGACTCTCAGATTCCCAGTACTTACTTTAGTATTGCCAATTCTACTTTAGCATTGTCAAGGTTGACTCTGAGATTCCCAGTACTTACTTTAGTATTGTCAATTCTATTTTAGTATTGCCAAGGTTGACTCTCTGATTCCCAGTGCTTGCTTTAGCATTGCCAATTCTACCTTGGTTTGGGGCCACTGGCAAAATGGACTTCCTAGATCCAAGGCCTTTACCCTTTGAGCTGGGAAGAGCTAGGTTAGGTGAACCACCCTTGTTAACATAAAAGGCTAAGGCTTCCCCACAATAGTTGGACACTAAAGAGGACCCAAAACAGTCACATGAAAGAGGCTCAGGGCCTCTTGTGGGCAACCCCTGTTGCGCGAATGTTGGCCCTTACTTTTTTTTTTGGTAAAGAAGTTATCTTAAAATTGATGGTTTGGGGACCACTTCAAAAAATAATTCCTAATGTTTGCCTGGATTTGTTTGCCTGTGTTTTGTCCGACTCTTTTTGGCCAGTCGTTGTTTGTCAGGATTTTTTCCCGGCATTCTTTCCGGCAAACAATGCCACAATTGAGGACCCCACACAGTCACAAGATCCTCAATTGCGAAAATACATTGCCACAATAGAGGGTGCTTTTCCAATTGGGGGTCAAACATTACAGAGCAAGTGAGGGCCACATACAAGTCAAGATGTCTGTGCCAAACTGACAGTCAATCTTTTGCGGGCCTCGTTTAGGGCAACAGGAAACTAGGCAGCTTTTTGATGTTGTGCGGTCCTCCTGTCGTGAAGAAGGACTGCGATGTGTTCTGCCCATACCATCCAGTTCCTGGCGGCGTGTTGTCAACGCGACGGTGTTGCACAGGAATTGTCGATACAATACATGGAAGCTGAGACAAGTACTTGGGTCACTATTTCCCCCGCGAAAGGAACGGTGCTGTTTGTGGGGATGGTGGAATTCGCAGGCGGAGCGCGCCAGAGGCTTTTGTGCAAGAGGCCGGGCTGACGAACTTGGGCCCCCAAAAGCTCAACCCTGAGTGATTTTATTTTTGTCTGGCTCTCTGTGAGAGCAGTGCTTCGGAGCGCTTGCTGCATCCAGCGGGATGGGTCTGCTTGCATCCTTTTGCATCCGAAGCGGACAAGCGGTCCGTTTTGAAAAGAAGCCAACCCTGCACATGCTTTTGTGGCATGCGGGAGTGCATGGTGCCAGATGAGTCTGGGGATTGACATTTGGCCCGTTGGACAGGGCTTTTTTGTTTTAACTTTTCTGGCTTACAACGTTGCAAAGGGAAATCTGGGTCAATTGAACCTCAGCTTTGATTTCAGGTGGCCACTTTGCGGTCGGCTGGCAAGCCAGGCGGGATCCTGCAAAATGTTTGTTCCTTTGGAGTCTCGGGTTTGCTGTGCGAAGTTGAGATAGGCGGGTTCCTCACAGCTCTCTGGATGCTCATGGCATTGCTTGTGTCCATTCTACAACTCTTTGCTGAACTGGTTCCGCAATGTTAGATGCCCAGGGGGAGGGGGTCTTGGCTGTATTGTTCTCGAACCTGTCAACGAGCAGTCGAGGCTCAACCCCAGATCCTGGAGCAGAGACTTCTTGAGCTTGGGAACATGCCCCGAAACGACAGTCAGGACTTGCGTCTCATCAAACATGCTCATCATTCCCAAAGCTCGCCCGCATGAGGGGAGTCTTTTGCTGGATGCCGCACTCACTCCACTTTGGCCATCAAGTTACTTTCGTGTGAACTCCAAAGCAAGCTCGGGGAGAGAAGACTTGTGCTGGTTCTGTTCAAAGGAGCGTGCCAATTCGCGTGAGCTCACAAATTTTACAACAGCGACCACTGAGACGAAGGTGCATTGCGACGGCTGCGATACCATGTCGCCTTTGAATATCAGCAGGATGCAAGCCTACGAGGGTTTGGGATTGCATACCCGTGCATGTAAGGTAAGCAAACACAACGTCTCAGCATTTGTCTTGTCAAATCTTGGCTTAGCGACCTCCTGCTCGATGCAAGGCAGCGACAGGCCAGCGGAGGATGCAGTGCTGCGAGCACTGCTCCAAGTGCAGAAGGAGAAGGGTCAGCTGAACCAGGCACGCAGAGTGGGCAGAGCCAGATTTGGCCCCGCAGGAAATTGTGTGAAACAGATGACGCATGGATTTTGGGTGGCTCGGCTGAGGGTTAACCTAGTACAACGAGCTCACGGGCTTTTGGCTGAATTCTTGTTGTTTGACCAGACATATGATTATTCGGCCGCGATCCGCGCTTCTATCCATTTGGACCAGCCATCCTTGTGCTGAAGTTCTTTCGGAACGACCATGCATTGCTTCCCAGGGATGATGCGATTTGCAGTACAGCTGGGGTCGTTAGTTTCACTGTTTCTGGGATTAAAGTCAGAAACTGGGGCTGTTTCCCTTTAACCCACCACGGGGGTGACTTTGATCATAAAATCAGGGCAGTACAGAGCTTGTCTAAATGAGTCAGGCGCGAGGAACCGCTTGCTGTGTTTGCCACGTGCCATTGGAGGAAGCTCCTTACCTGGAGAAGTTGACTGGAAGTGGCCGACCGGGGGGCAAACGATGGCGCTTGGTGCATCTTGGTTCATTTGGGGTCGTTGATCTTGCTGGTGCTCAGGGAATGACCTTCCGGGTTTTCAGAATGAACCGGTTTTGGGGATTCCTCAAAAGAAACCATATGGGATGGGTGATAGGGGGTCATTCCCTGATTCCCTGCTGAGAACCAGCGAGTGATTTCAGCCCAGCATTGTCTCGGAGGAATCCATGGTTTGTTCCCATGGTTTTGCTTCGGATGCGGCATCGACACAGTGAGAGATCCAGGACTGCGACTGAAGAATGGAACGTTGGCCAGGTATTTGGCGACGAAGAATGCAGTCGTCGCTGAGCGGAAGGGCACACCGCCTCCGTCCCCACTGGATCGTGGTTGGTATGTGGATGGCTTTGTCACAGCCGTGCAGCGATTCGAAGACAGTAGTACCTCGGCATACACCCAAGGCGCACGGCAGCTGGTAGGGATGTGAGACGCTGATGAGAATCATGCTAGCTAGAAGGTTCTCAGCAGTTGGTCTGCATACATATATATATATATAAGCGGAGAGAGGTGGGTACGGGTGCAGCCGGCAGAGGCACGCACCTGACTTACCTCGTTTCAGTCCTCGATTCTGAGTTTACCAATCACCCGAGGCAGCAAGCACGTAAATCAGAACGGCGTCTTTGAGATGCTTGGGCTCGGTGGCTTCTTCTTCGGCTACTTTGCCCGCTTCAAGTGGCCAGCCCCAGAGAAGCGGACGACCTTGGCCTTCCAGCCGATCACCAACAACTTGAAGGTCTTTGGAAAGGAGCGGAGGGTTGGCGCATTGGGAGGAGTCAGTGCCGCCCATGTTTTAAGAGCAGTTGTTTCAGCACCCTGCCATGCACTCCACGCCGGTTTCGGACCTGGATTGGTCCTGGACCCAGAGGCATTGTCCTTCAACCATGGAGCCTCCTTCAACCAAAGCTCCGGATATGTCAACCATCCGGAAAGATGTCAACCATCGCCTGTTGAACCCCTCCCCCCCCGAAGTAATCGTCCCCCCGGCGAGAACAAAAAAGGACCCATCAACTCATCAACCCATCGACCCAGCGACCCACCGACCCGTCGCGACCCGTCGCGACCCGTCGAGGACTTCGCCTGGCCCTTCCCCAAGGCTCTGAGCAGCGAGGACTTCGAAGCGGCGCGCCCGGCAGCCCAGGTCCGGGCAGCGCCCACGCGCGCGCTGCATCCGGAGTTCGGTGCCGTTGCAACGGCACCTGCTGCTTCATGGGTGAGTCTTGGTGTTCAACTTAGATTATTAGCAAACAAACTTGCTGCAACTTGAGGACCGTTTTGAAAGGACACTGCTTGAAATGTTTCTGGGCTGCTATGGAAGAGTCGAACTGGGAGCTGCAGATGCGTACTCCGGTTTATTCGATGCCTGTCTCATGAGGCCTGCAGGACCTCAATATCTTCAACTTCTTCTATGTAGATGACGAGGTTGCCATAGCCCAAGGCGCAGCCTCCAGCTGACTTTGTCTTTGCAAGGAGTCTCATTAGCCATGTCGCTTGTGCAACCTGACCCTTCCTGGATTCTCACCCAATTAAAAGCAGAAGTCATACTAGCTGCTCACTGGACATGGTTTGCCCGTCGGAAGGTGCCTCGGGCAGCGTGGCACTCTGGGGTGCCACGGACGCTGCCTGGGACGCAAAGCACTTGATCCCTGTGGATGACTGACCGAAAGGTTTCTCCTTTGCTTGGATATAGGTTTTTCTGGAGCATTTTTCCGAGTGACGGAAGATTTCTCTGATTTTCTCACCCTAGAGCAGCTCGGCGCGCAATTTTCGGACACAACTCGAAGCAGACATCAGGCTTTAAGTTCACCAAAGTGGCATGTTTCTCCGGCCCATGGCAAGTGCACGCCGTGAGGAAGAAAGAAGCACCCGTGTTGAGGCAGTCAGCATTTGCCTTTGGTGCTCTTGGCGCGTCATTCGCTGTTTAGATGGCGGAGAGAGTGTTACTGCGGGCGTCGAGACAGCTGCACAGAAGGCAGCAGTTCAAATTTCTCGGTCAAAGCTGCTTGCAGACCGCCCCACACATTAGATCTTGTTATGCTGCAAGCAGCAGGTAACTGCCAAGATTGCGCACCTCGCATATGTGCAAAGCTCGCCCCGATTACTTGATTTTTCAGCAGCCAGGGGTTCTGCAAACGCCCCAATGACATCTGACTGCCAACACGGGATAGGGGTTCCATGCTCCCAGCTGTTGGGCTTATATTCAAGGCGAAACAAAGGCGCAGCCAAGCGTAGCCAAGCGTAGCCGAGCCACGCGTCGGCAACCTGGAGGGCTGAGGGGCGTGAATCCATCTCGGGCCCCAGCGGAGACCTGGTCAACCCAGCCAGTCAAGCCAGAAGCAATCGTCAATGCATGACCTTGTCGTTCATATGTTGCAGGGAGGTTAGCCTCCTAGTTAAGATTACAAGGGGTTAATTTGTCTGACTTCATATTTTCAGCCTGGAGAGTAGCAAGATCGCATCATTACATTTGCATCAGGGCGTTTGGCCCTTCTGTAAGACCAATTCCTCCAAAAGACTAATTCATTTTCGGAGGGCTAGTGCCCAAAGGCTACGGCTGCGGAACCCTCGATTGCCCCAGTGACCGAGTTCTAGAAGTTCCGGGGTCGCCGCGCAGCGGCTTCCCGATGAACTGTTTAAGGCGGGAAGCGGTCATGGCCTTGATTGATTCCAAAAGGCTGCGCGAAAAGACTTCATGCCTCAGAGGCTATCAATTTTGAGACAATTTTGAGGTCAGCTCATCCTCCAATGCGCAGAGGCTTGCGGTTCTGCCGTGATTTTGGCCAAAGATCCCTGGTGCCAAGGTGCGAGCCCAGCGGTGGCTGCCCGTCTTCCAGCGCGCCCTGGGCGAAGGCGAAGAAGTTGCCATGCCTGTGGCGTTCAGGGCCTCATGCCGGGGGATTTTGGGGGGGGGCGAGGCTTTGGTGCAGGCTGTTGGGGGGGGGGGGCTGGGGGGTGGTGGGGCGGACGTCAGGGGCCTTGGGGTGACACCTGGCGGCTGCGAAGTGCTTGGCGTGAAAGGCCCGGGCTCAAGAGCAACGATGGCTGTCGCTCTCGGCGTTGTGCAGGTTTGCAGGATCCCAACCTTGCGCGGCATGTGCTGAGCGAACTGGAACGCTGGCGGGATGCCCGGGACTCGGAGGGACCTGGGGGCGGGGGGGAGGGGCGATTCCGGAACCTTTATTCCGGTGATTTGGCCTCCAATGGAATTTTGGATTGCCCTGAGCCTGGGGATGATATCCTCCAGATAGTGGCAGTCATTGGATTCCCACGCACAGTCGTCGGTGCAATGAGCAGCAGAAACCGAAGTGTCAACTAAGTGCAACACTAGGTGTAACATTTATACCTTGATGCCACCAGAATTGGTTGGAGAGCATCTGATTGGCTCGATGCTTGAGACCGTCTGCTTGCCTGAACACCTCACTTTTTCGCCAGACACCGGTCATGTAGACAAATGAGAACCGAGCGTTGTCTTCAGACACCTTGGGCCATGACTGTTTCCAGTGACCAGCGCAAATACATCATGTTTCATTCCGACACCTTCGAGTTTGGAGCACCTTTGCAGCGAGCAAGCCGTTTTTCTTCAAAGTCGTAGCGGCTGGTGCAAGCAACTGAATGTTTCCCACATGGCTGTGGGTCAAAAGCCTGTAACCCTGCTGAACATCAAAATAGGTGGCCAATGGATGGTCATCCACCCCAAAATAGAGCCATAGGTTATGCCCCATGGCCACATGTCCCAGTTTTGGCAGACTTGACTTGGCCGGAGAATAGCGGCGCACCTCTCGAGGCCAGTGCAGGGCTGGACTGGTCCCTTCTGCTGCCGAGCCTTTCGTCATTCTTGGCGGGGTGTGTGTTGGGCACGCCGGCGTTGCCCCCTTCCGACAAAAACGAACGCAGCTTTTGCAAGCGATGGGGATCAACTCAATGAAGTTCTGCCGATGTCAGGGAGGACATTCGACGTGGTAGGATATCTGGCCAAATGACGCCAAAGCGCGGCCAAAGCGCAGTACCTTGAATGTTCGAAGGGCTCAGAACGAATAGATGCCGTTTAGGTGAGTTGTCTGTCAGCAGGAATGCTCCACTCGCACTTGTAGCTTATTGCTTTGACCTGGTTCAAGCAATGACCCTGTTCATCGTCCTCTCAACTCTTGCCTCTTTCACTTCTCGTTTCTTCAAATTTTTGGCAGGGCCTTGTGGGCATCACCATACTTGAATGCCACGCATGAATTGCAAGCATGGCAGATAGGACAAACCAAACAATCACACGGCCATGGTTGTCAAAACCGTTTTGGGATCCCATTTTGGGGTAGGTGAATTCACCACCCGTTTTAGGACCTATTTTAGTGGTTGGATTCGGATGTTCACTGGATTTTGGATAACCGGGATTTGACCCGCCATATGGTCGCCACGCCAGGCACCCGCCTCCACGGTGCGGAGGTCCACGGCAGCAGAGCGCACGGGCCGCAATGCGGGCGCACAGGGCCACCCATCCATTGGGCCACCGGAAATAAGAGCAGCTTGTTAATGTGAACCCCGGATCTAAGTAGAACCCCTGGTTGATTAATAGGGGGGTGTCCCCTTTTAGTGGGGAGTCATCACTTTTGGAGGGAACACCCCCCTAATAGTGGGACGGGTATATTAATCCTGGGTGAACATTAGCAGGGTGGCTGGTTGGCTGGCTGACCGAACAACTATGTTAACATGCAGGGAGCAAAGGGACCAAGGGAGGACAGAAATCATGAGTGGATTCAATGTATGCACAAGGGATGACGAACCATGAAAGGTGCAGCAAAAACGAGGAGGCGCAGTTCCATGGCACAGCCCGAATTCACTTCTCGGCCCTGGCAGGTTTCCGGGATGAGGACCAAACGCATGGGCACAACGGGGGGATGTTGAGCAGCGCCATTGGATTTTCAGGGGTGCCAGGCTGTGGCAGGGCCCCTCATTTTCATGGTGAGAACAAGGTCGCGCCACACGTGGCCTGGCCACGGCGGGGCAAAAAGCCGAGGACCGCCCGGGCCTCAGAAGCTGCGACCTCCGGCGGTCTTTGCGGTTCAGCAGCCCCCTTTTGTCGGTCGCTGCGCCTTGTCTTGGCTGGCTTTCAACCTATTTAGGCGCCAGGCCTGGGGTTTGCCGCGAAGTCTGTTCTTTTTCGCAAGCAGACGGCCGTCAGCTGAATTACATGGTGACATGTTCTTGTTCGATTCTGTGAAGCGTAGCTATGTGGGTCGACTGGGTCGACACCCCGGCGCCCAGGCCGCAACTTGGTCCGGCGGCTCCTGCGCTTCGTCGGGTCGTTAGGCTGGGTTTTTACAGCCAACGCGAGCTGAGCTTATCCTCAGCGGCGCTAACTCAATTCGATTCAGTTCCATCCCCATCATTCCCACCCAGCCCAACACAACCAGTCAAGAGAGCAGGCAAGCAGCCACACCAACAAAGCAAGACAAAGACAAAGCAAAGCAAAGCCAAGCAAAGCCAAGTAAAGCAAAGACAAAGACAAACCAAAGACAAACCAAAGCAAAGCCAAGCAAGCCAAGCAAACCCAAGCAAACCCAAGCAAACCCAAGCAAGCCAAGCAAGCCAAGCAAGCCAAGCAAGCCAAGCAAGCCAAGCAAGCCAAGCAAGCCAAGCAAGCCAAGCAAGCCAAGCAAGCCAAGCAAGCCAAGCAAGCCAAGCAAGCCAAGCAAGCCAAGCAAGCCAGCAAGCAGGTAGGCAAGCAAGCAAGCAAGCAAGCAAGCAAGCAAGCAAGCCAGCAAGCCAGCAAGCCAGCAAGCCAGCAAGCCAGCAAGCAAAGAAGCGATAAAGCAAGCCAAGCAATCAAAGCCAGCAAATCCAGCAACGCCAACAATGCAAGCAAGGCAATCAAGGCAATCCGGCCTGCTCGGGCCCTTGGACATGCTGACTGACTCTAGACGGCACATGGGCTCTCAGGGTTTGTGTTTGAACACGGTCAACGAGGCTGCTCCGCTATAAACGCTATAAACTCGATTCCTTCGCACCACAACCTCTCAGCAAGCGCTGGCATCCAGTGAAAAGCACTCAAGGGTGCTTTGTAGCGGCCATGTTGCCAAGTTTGGAAGGCATAATGGAGGCAGCCAAAAACCAAGCCGCCAATCATCAGGTATTTGCTTGTGGACGTGTACCCCGTTCATACAGCAGTTTGCATGCAGGTACTTGCCACCCCGCTTGAACTCCATGTCAATGATAAATGCAATAGGCTGAAAGTAAGGGTTGACACATTGCCGGAGCACCGGCGTCAGGGGGCGACTGCCACGGCTTGGCATTGCGGGAGTGTGGTGCCAAGTGAGTGAAGAGAGGCTCAGTTGTCCAAAGGACCATAATTCATTTGGCTTTGGCAGTGATCCTGAACCTTTTGAGGCTTGCTCGAGGTTCATCTTAGCCTGAAAAGCGTCATTGAGGATCCTTCCTTCAGTGCCAATGAACACGGGAGTTCAGGACAGCCCGCTCACTGGTGAGCGCGCGAGCTCGGATCACAGTCCCATCATCCCATCATCCAGCGTTCGTTGGGCTGGGCGTTGGGTTCGGTGCCTCCGTTGCAGGACATCAGTGCCCACGGTAGTGGTGCTGGATTAGCAGATCGGACATCCCCGGCGAGCACAGTTGAAGCAATTCCATGTGGCTCACAAACATGTACCCAACATGGTACCTTGGTATATGGGTTTGTCTCAAAATAGCGGACCCCCCAAAATGGCAACGGCTTCCTTTTGGTTCCCTTTGTTTCTCCAATCGCAAAACGTGTACCAACTCCAAACAAGACAGTCATTTTTCGGGTTTGGTTGGTTTTAAAGGAAAACCAACAGCTACAAAACACATTCTGGTTCCCCTAAAAAATGACGAGCCATCCATATGGAAACAGAAGGGCCCCTCACACTGGGGATTTTGGAAGTTTCGGAGTATGTTTCCATGGAACCTACTGACACCTTCGTGTCAGCTGCAAGCCTCAGCTCAGGCCAAGCCCGGAGGACCTGCGGCGGCCCATCTCAAAGCTGGGCCCGGAGCCGGGCAGATGCACCGAAGTGATGTGGCTGTGGTTGTCAAAACCGTTTTGGGATCCCATCTTGGGATAGGTGAATTCACCCATTTTAGAACCTATTTTTGGTTGGATTGAATCGGATGTTCATTGGGGGTACGGGGTTTTGACCCATGGCCATGTGCGGTGGGTCTCTCGCTTTTGGAGTTTTGGCTTGAGAGGAAAGGAGAGTTGGACATGGTCGCGCCATTTTGCGGGGTCGCGCCTTGTTTTTGGTACATAACATATGTGGAACGCCGCCTTTCGCACGCCTTTCGCACGCCGTGAAGTTTGACCATGGCATTGTTTTCTCGCAGAAGCAGCAGGTTGATGGTGATTCACGATCCAGATCCATGGAGCCTGACGTGAGGCCTGAAGCTGTCAGTGTCCCTGGGAGGGACCTTGGTGGAGCCGGGAGCCGAGCGAACAAGCTTGCACCGCCGCTGGAGTGGATTGGCCCCGACTGGAAACCATTGGGGGGGGGGGGCCTTGTCAAAATGGTGAGCCCACTTTGGGTAGTTAAGGGGGAACTAAAAGGACACCAGCTGTTTTAGGGCATTTGGGAAACGACCATCTCTGTTCGTGGTTCCCCGCCTGAAGCAATTCAAGCCAAGGCCAAAGGTTTGTAAGTTTGAGCCATCAGTTGGTAAGGTCAAGTTTGATCGCTGGCATGGAACCTTTTCAGGCTGGAGCCCTCGGAACTTTTGCCGCACCTCGCCTGCTGCCTCAGTTCAAAGCCAATGTAGGGAAATCTGAGGCTTCGGTTTTTATTGGAGGCCAGTATTAAGAGCTGTTCCGCGCTCGGAAATTGCACATGCAGCAGAATGCAGCAGAATGCAAAGAGACGGCGCAGCATCAACAATACTGACCATGGTACAACAAATGAAATTCTTGTTTGGTGCTGTCAGTTACCAGCTGCCGCTCTTTGTGACGTGCATTTCTGCGACTCATGCGGTCAATGTGCTTGGTACAGTAGCCGTTGGGTTTGCAAGGTTCCTGGTGGCTGGTTGACTTTGTGTTGTGGGTTTTGCAGCTTCATTTGGCGCGAACCTATTGATTGTAGGGTTGGTGGTTGCATTGTGCAAGATGGTAATACTTAATTGCTCGTTGCTTTCATGTCACGGCATTGTGGGCTGATTCGCGATTGTCCCATTTTGTTGAACCGTTCAAGGCTTGTCGGGCACCCTGCTTGGGGTGTTCAACCCAACATGGTCCAGCGTCTCCGGCTTTTGACAGCATGGACATCCCTCGGTCCCTTTTATGCTACCATCAGTTTTGCCATGCTCGAGTCGCGCAAGTCACCTTTTGAAAACTGCAGGCTCAAAAGGAAACTGACTTGGACCTCTGAAAAGGTGGTCGGGCCAAGCCGCCGTGCAAAGCCAGCCGCATTCCAAGGCCCGGCTGCTGCGCCGCGGCACCAAGCGAAGCGCACGCTTGGCGGCTGGGGAGCGGGGGGACCTGGCCGGAAAATCGCAAGTCCCCTCAAAGACTTGGATATGATGGCGTTTGGCTCTTCCGGGTGAAACAGGATCCATTGCGGAAAGGACGGAACCAGACTTCGATCTGGGCCTTGTCAATCCGTGTTAGCGCAGAGCCTGCCGAGTCTAGCCCGGAGTCGACTGCTTTTGGCCCTGATAGACTGCTCAAGTGCGTAGGTCTTTGCACGCGCTGCTGCGGCACGTGATCGGACTGGTGCCCAGGGCTGGCTGGCTTTTGCGCGCATTCGCGCAGACCCTTTCAGAGGGCCTGGAGGGGTTTGTGGCACCTGTCGCCTGATTTCACTTGGAGAACCTCTGGTGGGTTTGCTTTGAGCTGTTTGCCTGAAGCCAGCCAGACGGCTTTCGGGAGAGCGCCTGCGCAAGAAAAACACAAAATGCGCCAAACGTGTGAGGCAATGACTCTGTCAACCCCGTGGCTGACGGGGACGCCGAGGCCAGTCTTGGGCAGCGCAGGTTTGTGGGTAATTAGATTGCTGATTTTCATCGAGTGCCCAGGTGCCCGAGCATCTCGTAACCGAGGGCCCCCTTCCTCCTAACAGTTTGCTTCCCTCATCAACCCTTTTGGCCAGACAAGAAATGGAGGCGGTCTTGGACGGCTACTTGTAGTTGTCTATTGTTTGATAGGGTGATAAGGGGAAGATAGAAGGGAGCTTCCTGTGACTTCGCCGCCCGGGCTCGAAGATGGGCCCCAAAGCGGCGGCAAGTCCGTCGAGGGCCTTCCTCGGGCGAAAGGCGCGAGACCGTGCAGGGAGAGCGGAGCGCGGCGAGACGTGGCAGTGACTGGAGTTAGTCTCAAAACATGCCACAGGTCTGATCCTTTTAGACATGGAGCCTGACAGAAGCTCCGGACATGGTCTTGTGGCAGTGGTCGAGAGTCTCGTCGAGAGTTCCATGTCAGGGAGGAAGAGGAGTCCAGTCGCCATTTTTCCAAATGACCTTCAGATTCTATGATTGGTTCGCTTGCGGCAAAGTGGATAGAGCCAACACCATCCACGCCGGTTTCGGCTAGCCCCGGCGAGGCCTGCTGAGAGTGGAGTGGGACTGTTCAAGGAATGTTCAATCCCATCATCTTCCAGGCAGGGTTCCGGGGGCTTCTGCACTCAGCACTTTGGTGTCAGACAAGACTCATTTTCAGCTAATTAATTCGTAAATGGCAAGCCACTGTGGCATATGAGATTCAACGTACCCTATCGCCCATGAATCTTTAGATGACCCGACTTTCTGGCCGCTTCTCGGCCGGGCACCGGGCCAAATCGATCCAAGTGATGCAAGGAAGGCGCAGTCACCAAGTTCGATTCGGACTTTCGCTGTGTTTCTCTTGTGTGCCCCAAAAAAGGGGTTGCGAGAAGATCGAGCCCCTGCGCAGGCGCCCAGGGCATCCTACAACAAGTCCTCCTTCCCGCGAAATCTCTGCACCATCCCATGGAACCCTATGATCTCGCCAGGCGGGGGAGGGGGGGTATTTAGATGAAGGAAAGCATTAGGAATTAACTCCAATTATCTATCTCTTCATCAATATAATATTTGCTTTTCTTTTACATATTAATTCTGGTTCTTTGTCAACATTATTTCCTAATCCTTTCCAGTCTTTACAATTATTCTTGTCTTTTTGGTTGATTAATAATAGCTTTTCACACATCTATCCCATCTATGATTCAGAATTAATTTGTAGGATATAGAATGGCTTTATGTCTAGTTCTTTTCATTAAACATCTTGACTTTATTATCAGCTATTTTCATTATCTTATGTTTATTGGTTTTCATGTAATGTTATTGCACAATCAATGCCACGCATGGTGACCTTGTGGCGTGATGCAATTGCACCTAGTTGGATTGGGAGACCACGTCCTTCCCTGCTAAGTTTCGCTTTCTGGGTGGGAAGCTACAGGCACTGAGCTCGAGAGTTTGGCAAAACAACCCACTTTACGCACTTCAAGGTGCTCAGCCGTGCTCCTTACGGGTTGCATGATGAGCTCTGGAGGTTCAATTTTGTTGGCCAGTTTTGAAGGGAAACCAAAAGGAAACCGCCCCGTTGGGGTCCTCGCCGCTCGATTTCTTGCCGAGGCCGCACTGGCGGTGTGCCGTGCCTCTGGTTTCCAGCCCCCAAGGCTGCAACAGTGGTCATGCAGCTCGGATGAAGTCGCCGAACGCCGATTCCTTGAAGTGCAAAGAGCGAAAAGGCGCTATTGAGACAGGTTTAGGTTTTGGCTTCTTGGGTCCTTGACCAGTTATAGAACTATTCAGTTTGTGCAAGGTTGGACGTAAATAAAGAAGCTGCAAGCCTAGTGTCTCACATGGCACCCGCTCCCCCTGAAGCTGTGATTGCAGGTGCTCCCTTTTCTGCGCCTTCAGCTGAAGTCGCTAAATCGAACCAGGGATTGGGTGGATCTTTGCAGTTGAAGGGTTTGTGAATCCGCAAGCTCCGGGCCACTTGGATTGGGTGATGTCGCACAATGGCAATTTCACTGCGGATTGTGGCCAGGATTCCCCAAGCACGTACTGCAACTGTTCTGGCGTGATTTGTGATTTGTGTTTGCAACGATATGCCATTGTACCTTCATTGAAGGCTTCGACTGGTCTGACTCTCGCTTTTCCAAGTTGCCATGATACTGCAGTAACAGAGAAGCAACACTCTCTCGGGTGCCATCTTCCGAATACACGCTGTTCGTTGACTCCCATTTGTGCGGTGATCACACCTTTGCTGGCACTTTTGGCATGGGAAGAATGATAGAGCAGCCAGCTTTTCATTGTTTGCACGATGGGCTTCTTCTCCTTTAGGTTTTCTACGGGTTGCAGTCTGGCAACATGCAACAGCGTAGGATCTTCTTGGCATATTCATGAAAATACCAGCAGCAAGTTCCCCGAGCTTGTTCTGCAGAGTGCGAGGAGCGCTGTTCGCTGAGGTACTTCCATGCAAATTCCGAGGACATTGGCACAGCCTTTCACTTTGTGAAGCACATGCGCGACCAATTCAAGGCGACGCCTGAAGAGATCGCAGATCCTAGAGGTCTAAATTTATGCGGAGGGCACAACACTACATGGCTTGGGACACCACATGGGTATGGGGTCAAAATGTCATTGTTTCCATTTACCAGGGCAAGCCATTTTGGGTCACAGCCACATTTCGAGCTTCAGGCAGGCGGTCAGATGTCTTTCTGGGCCTAGACGCCGAGATCTCTCGGCAGGTTAATGTGATTTCCATCGAGTACCCTGGATATGGACTCTTGCAGGGCATCGAACCAACAGAGGAGGCAGGGTGTGACTTGCAGAGTCCAGGGTAGAAAAGGGTTGAGCTTGTTTCGCAACCATGTTAGGAAGGGGAGATTCGGTAGGACGGCAATATAAGGCTGCATGTGTATTCATGATTGATCGGAGTTTGAGGGTACCAACAAACCGTTTGTTCTTTCGCACAGCAACTATCCATGTTCCACTTTGTGCCCACATTCCCACATACAAAGTACTGCATATTGTTCCATCCAACTTTTATATGGTGAAGTTGCGAAATGTTCTGCTGAGCCACGTTTTGACAACGCTGAGACCATCTTTGAAGTCGCGCTGACTGTCTTCAGATACTTAGTGGACGAGCTGCGGGTGAGCTATTCCTCCGTGATCGTCTTTGGACGGTCATTGGGGAGCGGGCCAGCAATCTTCTTGGCTGCTCAGTACCCAATCGGCGGCATGATACTCGTGTCTCCCTTCATATCCATCAGAGCTGCAGCCAAGCATATAGGCGGGCGAATCGTGGCCTTCATGTTCAGCAACGTCTTCCAAAACCACAGGAGGCTGGTGGTTTGAAGATCGTCCAAGGAGCACAAATATCGTGGGAATGTGGGAATAATGTGGGAATAGGAATGTGCTCCAATCCGCATACCCACTTGGTTTAATAACTTTGTGAACAAATATTGAATAATCCGTCCAAGGAGGAGCCGGGTGACAGGCAGACTTAGGGAAATTAAGGAGCACCCGCTTTTTCGTCGCGTCAAGTTAAGCCACCTTGTTGCTTGCCCAAACTCTGCCCCCAGGATAGTCAACGTCTCTTGTCCGGTTCTTTTCATACACGGTGCAAGTGACAGCCTTATCCCGGTGGAGCACTCGAAGACGCTCTTCGGCCTGTGCCGTTCGAGAAAGTTGTTGGTGACACCGCCGAAGATGGATCACAACAGCAGCATGTTCAGTGATCCGCCACTCGGACCGCACTTTGTGCATTCGAGCCTTTGGAGCATTTGCTTCGAGCCGAAGGTCCTTGGGCCAGAGGGGGCCAACTGCTCAGTGACGATATCTCATGTTGGTTGCCAGGCTTGGAAGAATCAGTTTGAACAGCAGCTTGCAACCAAGCCCGCGGTCTACTCTGGCCTTGTGGTCTTGGTAGCCCTGCTGCTTTGGAGAGGTGTACATACAGGTCACATGGATTGTGGCATAGCCAACCCTGTTGCGCTTGAAATGGGCGAAAGTTTAGGGGCCAATGGTTTGCCTGACAAACAGACAACGCAGTACCAGGATTTGGCCAGACCCCAAAATCATAAGGACCACATTCGGGCTTGGAACTGGGTCCAGGGTTCCATCTTTTGACTACCCCAAAACGGACCTTGGGGTCGTTTGTTTCCCCAAAAGGGTCTGTTTGAAGCTCATGTGGCTTGAAGCCCAAACTCAACGCCAGCCACTTCTTTCCAGGGTCTCCTTTCTTGCTCGCGAAGTGGCACGTTCGCTTGAGGAACGCCTTCGCGGTGCCAGCGATCCACTTCTTCGGCTTCCCAGGCTGGCGCACCCTGACGCCGCCCTTCATGCCCTTCGACCTCTTTGAAGCTCACAGGGGCGATGATGTGCCCACGCTGACGCTGCGGCTGAGAATGTCAGGTTTGGGACTCTTGGGACTCTTGGGAGTCTTGGGAATTTTGGGATTCCTTGGGATTCCTTGAGATTCCTTGAAATTCCTTGGGATTCGTTGGGATTCTTGGGACTCTTGGACTCTTGGAACGGCTGTCGAGACTCTCGCGACTTTGGGGCATCTTGGGAGCCTTGGGAACTTTGAGACTCTTGCAACTTTTTTTTGGCCTGGGCCCAGCAGGGGAGGTGCTTTTTTTCTAGCAACGGCTTCTGCTTAGGAGTGGCTCAGGCGGATGGTTGGTGGGTGGGTTGGTTGGTTGGCTGGTTGGTGGTTGGGTGGTTGGGTGTGAGGGTGGGTGGGGTGGGTGGGTGGGGTGGGTGGGTGGGGTGGGTGGGTGGGTGGGTGGTTGGCAGAGTGGCATGACAGGGGTGGGTCAACATCCCTAGCATCACCAGGCTCAGTCTCCCTTAATCTGTTGCCACCGCAAGACAGGCCTGAGCGTTGCAGGCCTGGTGAAGTTCTTGTTGGTTTTTGGGTCGTTTGGGGCTAGCTGGGGCGTGACCACCGCTTGCGTTAGTTTTCGTTTGAACTTGGGTAAATTTTGGGGGGTGGCTTTGGGCTGGCTTGAGTCAGGTTTTGGGGCTGGTTTCAGCAGTGCTTACTGTTGCTGAAGGGGTTTGTATTTTTGCTGGTTTGCGCCTGGTTTTGGTGCGTTGCATCAACCATCAACCCAGCAACAACACAGATAACACACCTCTTCAGCAACAGGACGCACTGCTGAAACGAGCCCCAAAGCCAACCCAAGTTCACCCCAAGTTCAACCCTAAACTAAGCCAAGCAAAAACTAGTGCCGTCCAAAGCCCACCCTATTGCTGCCGCAAGAACTTAACACGTGTCTTGCCTGGTTTTTGCAGGAAATCAAATGGGCGTGCCTGCTTGCTCAGGAGAGACGGTTCCAGCAGAAAAACAGAGGCAGGGCGACCGGCAGCTGGAAGTTCACCTGAATCTTAGATCTTTGAAGCTCTTCCACGCATTGGAAGTAGTGAAGTTGAGCCTATCTTGGGACGAGTTTGCGCGCAGATTCCAGTGCTATTTGCATTCATTCGATCAGGAGAGTGACAATGTCAGTGTTCTGGGGGCGAGGACACGGGTAAGCTAGCTAATTTACCTACACACACTTTTCTCCCATCTTTGGGGGGCGCAGCGCTAATATTGGGCCCGCAGATAATTTGTGGCCAAGTGTCTTCAACCGCTTCTCGTTTGCGCCTGAAGTTTTGGTCTGGCAAGAGCACCTGCATTGATTGTGTGTGCAATATTCACGAGCTTCAGCTCTGCGTTCAATGCTTCCGGCCGATTGTTGAACGTTCGTTGGTGTCTTTTTTTGACGGTGCACCCGCTTTTGCTTGGTTTCAAAGAGAACGCCAAAAGGAAAACCGAGGCCATTTTGGGGGGTCGAACCTAAAAATAGACGCACACGTGATTGATTGACGAGGGCGCAGAGAGCTGGTTGTACAACTGCTGCGGCAAGCTCGCTGAAGAGTCGCCAGGAGCTGAGTGTTCCATGTCGGCTGTGCGTTTTGGGCAAAGAGCTCTGAAGCTGAAGTAGCAGAGGACATCATTTTTTGTTTTCTCCGGCTGTGCATTCTCAACAGAACACCTTGGCTGCCAATAGCACCCATGGCATCCACATTGATCGCTTCGCTGTGATCGCTTTTGCTTTGTGTCGCTCAGGTCTGACCAGGTGTTGGTTCGACAGGAAAAAACGCTCCAGGAAGAGTGTGTACAGAATGATTACGTGTAGCATGCATGAAGGAAATTCCTTTTAGCTGATTGCGCTTGCGTGAGCACAGAGGGCAAAGCCGTCGCACAGGTTTCACAAGCTCAAATGATGGCAAGTAGTAGGTCTTGGAAATGTAGCATTCGTCTTGCATGCTTGGTCATCAGACGTGAATCTTGACTGGCCCGGGTTGCATCGGTTAATGTTCACCTTGCTGATAGGCGGACAGCGTATTGACATTACCAGGTTTGCTGCTTTGCAACTCAGGCACTCTTGAAGTGAGTGCTTTGGTCCGAAGGGGCCCATTTCTCTGTTGGAGCACGTTTCACGGCTGAAGCATCAGCTTATAACATGTCTCGCATCACGTTGGGGGAGTGAAATGCGGCTTCTCTCCTTGCGCCATTCCAGAAAACACAGCATGTGGTCGCAAAAGCCGTTTCAGTTTCGAATCTCATCTTAGGGGGGACACACCCTGCATATGAGCCACAATCAAAACCTGGGTAGATGAAGGTCAGGAAGGGACAATCACCATAAATAGCTGCAGATATCCGCCTTCCTAATTTTTGAAGCATGGTTCTGGGTTCACCATTTTTGTACCGATCGGTTTGATTTTGACTCATATGCGTAACCCCCGCCATTTCTTCCATTGGCCCGCGCTCAGCTGGACCCGGGAACTCAGAGTCGATTCGCAGGCGTCCACGGCGTTTGCGGAGGCGCCGCACGTTTCTCGATGGGTGGGTGGAAGTCTTCAGAAGGATTTGAACCTGACAAGCCCGTTGGGAAAAACTCAAAAAGAAGAGTGCATGGAAAGAATGGGTAGCTCTGGTGGAGTGCATGACCAACACTCCTTTGACCCTTTCAATCGAGGCCAGCACAAGCCTTTCAGGTCCTGCGCGCTCCGCTGCTCCCGCTGGCGCTGCGAGCGGCATCCGACGAGGCGCACACGCGCTTGCCTGAAGCCGCGGCAAGTCTGCCAGTAGAAATCGATTGTGGGACTCGAGGAGTGTAACTGGAGCGCTGCAAGCCAAGCGCATGCGGTTTGTGAAAGCCAGGGAGCTCTCCGGATATATTTGGTTATTTTCCCTTTCTAAGCATCCCAAATCCAATGTTTTGACCCGCAGTCAACTGATAGGCGGGGCAGGTTTCACGGGATGCAAAGGGATTGATTCGAACACCTGAGCTCATATTTCGCTTTGTCCGGCGAGACGCCGACTTTTCTCGCAAAGAAATACGCCTCAGGGACAGCCCCGAGTCTCCCAATGAACTAGATGCGCCTCGACCTTCGCAGTTTTGTTGTGGGCGGTTTCAGAGCCACACGCCACCAAGACCCTCCCTGGGCGAGGGCGTGTTGGATCCGGCCAGGACGCTACACTGTCGGAGCTCTTCAAAAGCCTCCTGAAGCAGCAGGGGGCCTCAGTTGTGCTGGGCTGAGGTTTGTTTACATCCGCTTGGGTCGACAAGTTCGTGGTGTCTGGGAGGGCTCACGATACCATCAATCGGGCGATGCTTGAGGGTTGACTCGCCTTTCCAATCATTTTCGTTGCCTTGACACCAGTTCCACATTCCTAGATATGCTTGCCATCTGAAGCGGAGATGAGGACTGGAACTAAGCTCTTTCATTTCAGCTTCGAAATTGTAGAGCCCCAAAACCAGTTGCCCATCTTAAAAGGCGTTCTCCTCCCCATTTTGAAGGGACGTGCAGTGAGGGGGGGGTGAGGGTCATATTTTGGTAGGGCCACAGGGCTGAGCTCGCCGAAAACAGTTTTGCTGCGAGGTTGGTTGCGTGGATGGCACACCGCCCACCCACTGCCAGCCTCTCCAGCCTTCGGGATGCTTTGCTGGAGGCGGGGCACGGTCTGGTAAGGAAGGCTTGGCAACGTATGCGGGGCCTAAGCTCGGGGAGGATGGGTTTGGAGCAAAGGGCAGCAGCAGTAGCAGCTTTTGTCAGAAGTGGATGAACGACTTTGCATCAATGCCTCGATCTTTGATTATTTTGAAGCGGCCCCCCAATCATAGGTTAGCTACCCCCTCCCCCCCCCATATCCCCCCCTCCCAAATGTCAAAATCTCAGTAAGACTCAACGAGTGTTGCTGAGCACTACTCCAGCAAGGATTTGGCATGTGGGAGGGGAGGTTGCTTCCATTTTGCATGGCAGGGCTTGGGTTTGTTGAAGCTTGCCTGGGAATCAAAGCGTCATTGCGTGGTACTAAATACTTGCTGAGCCTGGATCGCCCATGTGCCGTGGTCTTGGGGCTGATTGAGGGTCCTGGGTGCTACTGTGTGCTAAGTGCTACTGAGTGCTTACTAAGCCAGGATTCCAAAAATGTGCTGTTTTAGGTTGTGATTGAGTACTACTGAGTGCGGCCGAACACTTATTGAGCCGGGATTTCAAACATGTGCTGTTTTAGGTTGTGATTGAGTAGTACTGAGTGTTACTCAGTGTTACTGAGTGCTGCTGAGTGCTACTGAGTGCTTTCTGAACGCTACTGAGCGCTTGCTGATTGCTACTGAGTGCTTTTTAAGCCCAAGATTGAAAACACATTTTCATTTTTGGACCCGATGCCACTCAAAATCACATTTGGGGGGGGATACGGAGGGGGGGTTAACTAACCTATGACCTATCCAACTTGACACGGAGAGGGCAGCACCATGCACGAATCCATCGTGTCTCGCCAGATGTGACTGGAAATGTAGCCTTCTTCATTGTATGCCTTTTGCACTTTTGTAGGGGGGGCTCGAAGGAACTGCTTCAAGCAAAACAGAGCCCACTGCCTTCGTGCATGTTGCGCTGGGTCTTTGTTTCCTCTGAACGTGAAAGAGGGTGTTTGCAAGAAGGAAGCTGGGCTTCCAGAATGCTCTCATTTTTTGACCCACAGCCATTTCTTACCTTCTCCCGAAAAAGGGTGTTTGCAAGAAGGAAGCTCCAGAATGCTCCGTGCGGTGTCCATCGGGTGTTTCTACATTTTTCCGCCCTCTGCAGGCCATGGGGGATCCGCACAGCCCTGCCTTGCGCCGGCGGCATAGCTAGATGCACGGGGCGAAGATGCAAAGTGAGTCCTGTGTTGGTTTTCGTGGGTCGCGATGTTCCCGAAAATCCTCATGCCCCCAAAAAGGTTTTTGGGGTAGTCTCGAATAAGTCGGTAGCTACCCGGGAATTTGATCATGACCACAGGGTCAGTTGATCCTGTTGCTTGAAGCCCCAGACAGTGCAAGCAGGCAACTGTCTACTTGCAGCAAGGATGGGCGAGGAACCCCCTAGGACGAGAAGCGATATCTGCTGTTTTACCTCCCAAGCTTGCCCGAAAGATATCCGGAGCTGAACACTCAGGATATGCTGCAGCGCAGCTGTTTGCGGAGCTGTTGGTTGCCCTTCATATGAAGCCTGGGACTCAGTGCATCCGAGGGTCATGTCGGCAACTGACATCGCGAGGCATCTTGACCCCTCCAAAAGACATGTAAGAGCTTCTCCCGATCCACCAACGAGGCATCTTCAAAAAACACGCCCTTCCTCAACCAGAACAAGATAGAGTATATTAATCCCTCACCATTTGACCAGCCAATCAAGAATCTGGCTGACCAAGCGAAGATCTGAGTCCTTTGTTGAGACCCTAGAGCCAAGTTTCTTGTGAAAGAAGCCCAAAGAGACATGCAGGCGTGCCCAAATGAAGAGAAGTCATGCCCCTAGAAGTTGTGAACAAGAACACCAATGAACCGCTTGAGTTGTTCGCAAGGGAGCTTGTTGCGCCTGATTCGGCGCGCGCAGATCGGCTGCTCCCGCCAAGCGTCTGCTGGAGCATCTCATCTCTGCGGCGGTGCACGTGGACCGACGCATGCAGCGGGTGCCCCAGAAAAGCAGCTGAGGAGGGTGTACTTCTCGGGTCTTCTGGGGAGTTTGGATGAAGTAGCACATGAGCAAACAACCGATGCGAACCACGGAGGACGTTTTGTTTCTTCTTCTTCTTTTATTATTACTATTATTATTAGTATTATTATTTAAATCATATATATATATATATATTGATATATAAAATATGTGTTGGATGTGAGGCTCTTGCCCGTCCGCGCCAGGCTGGCAGCTTTGCGCGCGTTGCGAGCCTCGTGGCCCGCGGCCTGGATCGCTGGATCGGTCAGATGGATCGGCAAGTTTTTGCCGTGGATCTCCGTTCAGTTCGGAGTTTCGACGACTTAAGTGCCAAGTGGGGATCATATTTTTCGATGACTGAATGGGCCAAGTGGGGATCCCAGCTGTCTGTTCGGCTTTCTCAGAGGCGCATTCAGCTCGGAACGCTGGGTGAACGACGCGAGGTGCTCCTTTGGCTGGGAGACGGATGCTGCTCTCCCTGCTTTGGATGTCATGCAGGCTCGAAGGGCAGTGGGCTCAATGGACCTTCATGGATTGAGCCATTGACTCGCCAGTGTTTGAGGCTCCAATCCTGTCGTGTCATGTCAGCCATGTCTCAGAAAGACTTGGTGTTTCCCCCCTTCGGCTTGCAACACGCCGGAGCCCACGGGACCATCGGAGCCGGCCTTCAGGTGGTCATCCTGTGCCTTCAGACCTCGCACCGGGACGGGCCTGCCGGGCTTTCTGCGCAGGCGCCTGGCTTTCAAAGCCGAAAGCCGAAATGCAGCTCCGCGGTGGCTTTCAGGTGGGTTTCCTCTTCACATCCGGTTCAACCAGGCTCAACTTTGAAGGGTGCAAGGGTGCAAGGGTGCAAGGTGATGGTTTGGGTGGGCATCTCCTCCTTTTTTTTTCCGCAAGGAATGCTTTGCCGTACTCAAGGTGAACAGACCCTCAGCAACAGCAAACAAGCAACATCTCCTTCCGGCCGTATGTTCGCTGTTGGATTTGCACTGGCTTGGTTCGTTTGCTTTGTTGCTTGATTTCTTGATTTCTTGGTTGGTTGGTTGGTTGGTTGGTTGGTTGGTTGGTTGGTTGGTTGGTTGGTTGGTGGTTGGTTGGTTGGTTGGTTGGTGGGTGGGTGGGTGGGTGGGTGGGTGGGTTGGTTGGTTGGTTGGTTGGTTGGTTGGTTGGTTGGTTTGGTTGGTTGGTTGGTTGGTTGGTTGGTTGGTTGGTTGGTTGGTTGGTTGGTTGGTTACTTGTTGGTTGGTTGGATACTTGTTGGTTGGTTGGTTACTTGTTGGTTGGCTGCTTACTTGTTGGTTGGTTGCTTAGTTGGTTGGTTGGTTAGTCGGTTGCTTGGTTGGTTGCTTGCTTGCTTGGTTGCTTTGTTGCTTGGTTGCTTGGTTGCTTGGTGCTTGGTTGCTGGTTGCTTGGTGTTTTTCGGGTTGTCGGGGTGTCGGGGACAGGGGACCGAGCCGATAAGCACCCCTCCCCCCGCCGTCGCTCCCGGTTTGTTTGTTTTAGTCCTGCCCTCCTGCTTCTGTTTGTGGTGTCTGGCCTCCCCACGGTGTGTTCAGGCTGCTGCCCCCATTGCAGTCATGGCCCGGAGCTTCTCTTTGCCCTTGTGCGGCTCCGCTGCCCCATAGCGTAGTCACGGCCCCTACGTGCGGCGTTCTGCCGTATGTAGCACGGTGACGCCTCGCGCTTTTGTGTGCGGTTTTCTGCCCCGTCTCATGGCACGGTGCTTCCCTTCTGTGCCCAGCGCTGCTTCCTGCCCTTGGTCGGTTTCTGCCTGTTCACCTGCCGCTTTGTTGTGTTGGTTGGCCTCCAGGCTTTTGCCCTGAAAGAC